GACATTTGTTCAAAATGTATGTTGCAGTCGAAACAGCTTCACCCCAAAACTCTTTAGGTAAATTCTTGCATTTCAACATACTTCTCACCATATTCATGATGGTTCGATTTTTCCTTTCTGCAATTCCATTTTGTTGTGGAGTATAGGGTGGCACCACCTCATGCATAATCCCTTCCTTTTCACATAATCTGTCGAAGTCTTTCAACACATATTCTCCGCCACCATCAGTTCTTAAAACTTTGAGATTTCGACCACTTTGTCTTTCGATCATAGACTTAAACTTGGTAAATACTTCGATCACTTCACTTTTCTTCTTGATCAGGTAAGTCCATAGCTTTCGACTGAAATTATCTATGAATGTAACAAAGTATTTGGTACCTCCCATGAATCCACCTGGATTGGTCCACATACATAAAAGTATATGACTTCAAGAATAGCCTTCGATATGCTTCCTGCATCCTTGCTGAAGCTATTCTTGTGTTGCTTCGCCTGCACACATTCCTCACATACCTCGTTTGGAATGTCAATTTCTGGCAATCCTGAAACCATATTTCTTCTCTTCAAATCTCTGATGTCTCTGAAGTTGAGATGGCCTAGTCTATAATGCCATATCCATTCATCTCTGCTAGTTGCAGTTGAAAGGCACTTGTGCTCCATCACATTTAGTTCAATCTTGAATGTTCGATTCTGAGACATTGGAGCCTTCAAGATTAATCTCCCATTTGCATCAACGACTCTCATCATCTTATCTTTGATTGACACTTTATAATTCTTTTCGACCAACGGCCATATACTGAGAAAATTGCTCTTCATGCCTGGTATGTACAATACATTAGAGATTAATGACCTCTTTCCATCTTTCCTCATGATCATAACATCACCAATACCTTCACCTGCTAGGGTATTGTCATTTGCAAATTTTACCATATTTCTCATTAAGGGTTTTATATTGACGAACCAGTCTTTCCTTCCAGACATATGTGATGAACATCCTGAATCCAAGTACCATTGGTCCATGAATCTATCTTCATCTCTTGTTGTGACCATCAACATCATCTCTTCTTATTCTTCTTCATGTTTTGCAAGCTTTGCATCACTTTCTTGATTCTTTCATTTTTCTGGACAATCACTCGCATGGTGTCCATACTTCTGACAATTGTAACATTGAATGTGACTCTTATCAGGTTTTCGACCACCACATCTTCCTCTATTTGCAAAACCACCTCTTTGGTTGCCTTGGTATGGTCTTCTTTGATTCGACACGTTTCCTTCAATCTGGTTTCCTCTACCATTCGATTTGTTGTAGCCACCTCTACCTCTGTCGAAACACTTTCCTTTGCCTTTGGTCTCTTTTGCTGAATGTGCCTGCAGGGCCACATCACTCTTCGATTTTCCTGCAGCTCTTTCGTTCATTCTTTCTTCATGAGATTCAAGCGTCCCTTGAAGCTCTTCCTTTGTCAATTTCGACAAGTCTTTCCCCTCTTCTATCGCCACCACTATATGGTCGAACTTAGGAGCTAAAGATCTCAAGATCTTCGACACAACAGCTCTTGTTGTTAACGTTTCTCCACATATCTTGATTTGATTTACTAGTTTTGTAACTCTAGTGAAGAAATCAGATATGCTTTCACTGTCTTCCATCTGAAGCAGTTCATACGTCCTTTTGTGAGTTTGTAACCTCACTTCTTTCACCTTTTCAGCGCCTCCAAAGATTTCTCAAGGATTTCCCAAGCTTCTTTTGCAGATTCTGAATCACTAACCTTTTCGAAATTGTCTGGGATGATACATTGATGAATTATAAATAATGCTTTATAACTCAGCTTCTCAGATTCTATGTATTTATTCTTTTCTTCTTCTGAAGCGTTTTCTCCAAGCGCTTCGACTCCATCTTTTACAAGGTCTCAAAGACCTTGACACCTGAATAAGACTTTCATCTGTTTGCACCAATTCTCATAGTTGTCAACTTTCAGAATTGGTAGCGTTGTTGGATAGTTTATATTCCCATAACTTGTCATCGTGAATTCTTCAATCGTTCTTGATTGATACTTCCCTTGAATCGAAACAAAAGCTCTTGATACCAGATGTTGGAAATCCACCAAAGTCTATGATGAATTTCTACCACAATGACGATTTAATTATGAGACAAAACAAATAAAAGAAGACAAGACAAATAATTTCTGCAGAGTTTCTCTCTGCTCACCAACTGTGAAAACTTTGTTATTCACTTGCAACTGTAAATTTTGTGAATACAACTTGCTTGACTTGCTTACAAAAATAGGGGTTACTCCCTCTATTTATAACTGAGCTTACACCCTAAGCCCAAAGCCCAAAATATCTATTTGTTACTAAATCAAATCTAATTTATTCTAGACTTAAATCAAATCTATTTAAATCTAAAACAAATCAAATCTTTTCGACACATAGTTTCGACACATTGGATTACAATTTAACAACTTTCAATAAACAAATTGTTAAATTGTTTGATTGTGTGATCGATTCGTATAATATTATCCTTTGATTGATTGACTAAAAATTATTTTGTTGATTGCATTACAATCTATTAGATTGTGAGGGGCATTCCATATCAACAAAGTGTCAAAGGAAAATCTGAAAAATCTATCGCAGGTCAAGCGTTTGATAATTTGCTAGTTTATATTTTTCTCATTTACTTTCTTTAAGCAATTTGTTAAATTCTTTGATTGTGTAATTGATTCGTATAGACAAATCTTTTGAGTTTTGAATAGCTTTGTTGATCACATTACAATCGATAAGATTGAAAGAGATATTTCATATCAACAAAGTTCAAAGGAAAATCTAAAAACTAAAGTGCACACCAAGTACTCGATAAATTGTTTCACTTAGTTTTATCAATTGTTTCATTAGACATTGGTTGGCCTTGTTGTTATTATCGAACTATTGTTAGAGAACTTATTGTGTTAATATCGTATCATTATTTTCTATATTATTTGATGCATACACATATTCGAGCTCCTATAATCGGTTCAATTTTGCACGACTTATAATCTAGAAATACAACTCCCGCTTGCTATAGTTTTTACTTAAATTTCCAAAACAGATTTTTAAGTAAAATTTCATTGGAAATCTATTCACCTCCCTATAGATAAATTGTTGTCGTCTAACATAAAAATATTTTAAATTATTGTTAAGAATTTCACATCGGACAATATATAGTTTGAATATGTTTTTATAAGTAAGGATAATCCTCAACCTACAATCCGGTTTTATAAGATTGAGTTAGGTTCAACTATATTTCTTAAGATGGTATGTGTCTAAAGTTACACAATTAAAAAATGTAAAATATTCTAAAGTTGACAAAATATGATTATCATCTTTAGCAAAGATTTCATGAAACATGCATGTGAAAACAAAAAGGATACAATGACAACTGGTAGCAAGTGGTATAGCTTATCAGATTGAGGGACCTGATACTAACGATGCATGCACTCGGAAGTTTAGGTCTTTTAAATTTTGCAGTGATTCCATTTTCATTTATGTAGGTTCGTTTGTTCTTCTGACTTCAGAGAAGAAAAGATTTCCTGTTACACGTTTTGGACATGCACAACTAGCAATGGTCCCTGTTCCAGATATAGCCAATGCCTCTTTTAGCTATAAATTTTAGTTCTATTTAAAAAAAATAAATTATTTTGCATGTTTCAATTAATATTCAGTTCAAAGATTAGATTGTTATATTTAAAATTCAATAATTAAAATAATACTGTTTTGATTTGTATATTAAAAAAAATTGAAAATATTATTTTAATAAGGGTTGAATATACTTTACCCTCTTGTAATAGTAGCGAGTTTTGATTTACCTCTCTATTAAAAAAAAAATCTGCCCCTTAACAAATATAGATTTCCAAACAAATTCTCAAACAGAAAAACTTGTACTCTAAGATTTCCTATGAGTTTCATACGTGGCATTAGATTCTTTGTTGACTGTGTATTAAAAGTCATGCTGGAATGCTTGTGTCTATTACAAATATTTAGTCTTCTGATTAACTCCCTGAAAAATCTTAGGTTCAATATCAAACAAAATTAACAAGCTCACTATTGGGAAGAAATTAGCAGCGAAGAAGAAGAAGCACTCCAAGAAGGCAAAACATTCAAGCCAACCGAAGAAGCACGAGGAAGGAGGCGCTTCTGTTGATGCTGATAAAGTATGTTCTTTCATCTATTTGTTCGTTTAGTGCTAAATACAGTGAAATCTTAATTTTTGAATGTTTGCCCAAATATCTTCAGAATAAGCATCTGTTCATTGTTGTGTTCCATCATGGTGGTGAGTTTGTAACGTTGAACAATAGGGTTAAGATTTACAGAGGGGTGTAAGTACTTTAGTTTCGGATCTCCACTTGAATCAGTTTAGAATGCTTAGCATCCATGGGTTGGTTACCGGTTGGGGTTACAAGCAGGAAACTTATAGAACATGGACTTTAATTCGTGAAATGGATGAAAATTATTTTCAGATTATGAAGGATGATGACTGTTATGATTTTGCTGCATACGCGTGTGCGACCCAATTAGACGGGGAAATTTTCGTGGAGCGTGATATTACTCATATTGGAGCATCAGTAAGTAGTCCAAGGTGTGTCAATGAGAATGTTGAGATGGGGAGATGTGAAGACGATTTCGTAGAAGGGTTGGGTGATAGTGAGGATGAACGGGCCATTGCTATTCTAGATAGTTTTGAAGGGATTGATGTAACTAAACCCATCAATGAGAGTCCTTCTGTTGCTGAATTTATGAGTGGGTCCGAACAGAAAAGTTGTGAGGATGAAGAGTATGTGAGATATGTGTTGGATAGCTCTGACCCATATTTATCTGATAGTGATAAAGGGAAAGTTCCAAAGTTTGAAAAGTTTAGGAAAGAGCATTTAAATAAGGATTTTAAATTTCAGTAGGGTCTGCAATTTAACTCCCTAGATTATTTTAGATATGCCATCCGTGAGTGGTCAATATTAAATGGGAGGGAAATTACGTTTATGAAAAATGAAAGTGATAGAGTAAGGGTAGTATGCAGGGTCAATTGTGGGTTTTTAATGTTGTGCTCCAAAGTGGGTCATAAGCTCACTTATGCTATAAAAACCGTAGTTGACAAACACACATGTGTTAGGATTTTAGACAATAAATCTGCAAGTTCTAGGTGGGTGGCTAAGGAAGTGTTGAAGAAAATGAAAACATATGATAATGTCAGGATTTGTGATATAATTCAAGACTTGAGGCAAAATTATTTTATGAGCATCACGGTGGCTAGTGCATGGAAGGCTAAACTCATAGCCAAGAAGATGCTTGAAGGAGATGCAGACAAACAATATGCAAATTTAAGGAGATATGCTGCAGAATTACATAGAGTGAATCCTGAGAACAATTTGAGTATCAGTTTAGAAATACCAAGTCCATGTATGCAGCCAAGGTTTGGATCCTTTTATTTTTGCTTTGATGGTTGTAAAAATGGTTTCATTAATGGTCGTAGAACCTTTGTTGGGGTGGATGGTTTTCATCTAAAAACAAAGTATAGGGGTCAGTTATTAATTGATGTGGGTAGGGACCCAAATGATCAGTATTTTCCTTTGGCCTTTGGGGTGGTTGAGACTGAAACTAAATAAAGCTGGAGGTGGTTTCTTAATTTGGTGGTGACAGATGTAGGCTAGGACAAGAGATTTGTGTTTATATCTGATCAATAAAAGGTATACATTTTTTGTCAATAAGTTACATGTTATGCATGTTTTACTTTGCACTGATGTTATGCAGGTTTTACTTTGCACTGATGTTATGCAGGTTTTACTTTGAAATGATATTATGCAATGTTTTAGGGCTTGGTAGTTGTGTTTGAGGAGATGTCTCAAAGGATAGAGCATAGGCTGTGTTTAAGGCATCTTTATGCAAATTTCAAGAAAAGATTTAGAGGTGAAGCTTTGATTAGAGATCTAATAATTTGTTAGGATGTTATGCCCCTTTGTAATGACATTGACATTTTGTGTCCTTATGGTTTGTTAGGCTATTATGCCCTTTTGTAATGACATTGGCATTTTGTTCTACTTATGTCTTTCATGTAATGAATCCTTTGTGAGCAATCCCCTCATATAATTAGTTTTGAATGATAGCAAATATGTGCGAAATAATCAATGAATGTTAAAAATGCTTTCATCTATATGTGTGCATTGTAAAAATATAGTATAACATGTTTAAAAAAAGTTCAGAATGTATTTTACAAATAAAAAACTTTTATGAGTCAACACAAAGAGCTTTGCATCGACACATACTTAAGCAAATAATCATGAAAATGATTCTACTCCAGTATGAGTCGACACATCCATGCTATGCATCGACTCATAACATGTTGATGCCCCTAGAATACAATTTTCAACCTTTATGCATCGATATATAACTTCATGCATCGACACATGATATGTTGATGTCTCTGAAAAATATTTGTCAACTTGTATGCATCGATACATAACTCCATGTATCGACACATAACACGTTTTATCTTCAAAAATCACAAATTCAATTCAGTATGTGTCGACACATACGTGTTATGTATCGACTCATGTAAAATGGTTTGCTCTTAATATGCACAAACATTTCAGCATGGCTTTTAATAACACAGTCAGCAAAGAATCTAATATCACGTATAAAACTCATAGGGAATCTTGGGATACAGGGTTTTCTGTTTGAGAATTTATATTTGTTAAGGGGCGGAAAAAAAAATTCTTTTAATAGGGGGTAAATCAAAACTCGCTATTATTACAAGGAGATAAAGTATATTTAATCCTTTTAATAATAAATCACTGTTAAGACTTTAAAGAACTATCATTTTAATTTTTTAATCATTATTTTAATAATTTATTTATTTTTCTTGTAAAATTAAATATTATTTAAAAATAATTTAATCATCTAATTCAAAATTGTTTAGTACAATTTCCAATCCATTTAAATTTATTTGAGTTTGATTAAAATTAGTAGTAAAAAATTAGATGAATTAAAGAAAAGTTGACTACTTAAAAAATCACATTTAACATAAAATATAAAATTTAAAAAATATCAATGACAGAAGAGAAAGAATCATTATTATAAAAATAAATAAATAAAATATATATTAAGAATAAAAGATTTGAGTTTGAGAATAATTATACCTGATTTATTTTTCATATAGAATTTTCAATTTATAAAAATAATTATAAGTGGTTTATTCTTTTAATATAGAATTTTCGATCAATTTTTTATTCAAAACTTTAATGCTATTTTATAATTATTAAAATATATTAACAGTTAAAGAAAAGATATGTTTAAAGAAGAGAAAGAAATTAAATCTTTTTGTCGTGTGACAATTTAAGTAAATTAATATATACCTTTAATTAAACAAGATCATTGAATAACATTTGGTGTCAAAATTACAGTTTGACACTTACTGTCAAAACTCATTTGATAATATTTTTTAATTCAATCGTAAATTTTGTTATACAAATATGCAGTAAAGAGTAATCGAAGATATCTTATTATTAAGTTTAATATTTTTATGTCATTTAATCGTGATTATATATATATATATATATATATATATATATATATATATATATATATATATATATATATATATATATATATATATATATATATATATATATATATATATATATATATATATATATATATATATAATTCATTTCTTTCAATTATTTGTGATTTTTAAAGAAGGTAAAAGTAGTGTAGAAATGTATTCTAGACTAATTTTGAAATTCTATTTTGATTGAGTGTATCAGAATTAATCCAGTTGGCACAACTTTAAAAATCATAAGAAAAAATTCAAAACACAATTTAACTCTTGCATTCCACCCCATATGTTTAGCGAATGCATTATGTATCATTGCAATTGTGATTAGGTTATCATAATAGATAACTCGAGAATGAAAAGAAACCTATAACTAAATTAGTAAAGTTTGAAGCCACAAAAATTCAGATGTTATTAGATAGATTACGATCCACGACATAACACTTGAATGAGCAACCACTATTTCTTTTTTGGACCATCATGAGAGTAGATTGGGACTTAAATAGGTTGATGGTCCAGAGGTGGACCTACGTGTTAAAAATAATTTATATTTTAAAAATATTTTATTGATTAAGTATGTTATAAGGTATTTTATTATATTTTAATATTTGTGTATAAATAACCTAGTAGTAGGTAGGTCAATGTATCTATTACTCCTTATTTTGTAGTCGTCATTTAATATGTTTCTTTTGTTTTTCATCTCTCCTTGTACACCTACAATTGGTATCTAGAGCTCCGGTTCGAAATCCACAGGGATACACGGGAAACACGAGTGAACAATGAGGTGTTGTGTGATTGAGAATCACATTTTTTTGATTATGTGGGATTTGGGAAACATTGTGTGTTAGTGAGTTTTGAGTGAGCTGCACAAGGTTGAAGATGAACGAAAACGGTGATATCAGTTCCAAGCTTCCAGTGTTTGATGGCAAAAACTGGAATCGTTGGAAGATCCAGATGCGTGTGTTGTTCGGTTCTCAAGATGTGTTAGAACTTGTCAATGATGGCTATGCTTCATTAGCAGCAGACACGAGGGATGCACAGAAAACAACACAGAAGGCGATAAGGAAGAAAGATCAGAAAGCATTGTTCTACATCCATCAGTGTGTGGATGCGAATGTGTTTGAGAAGAATGTTAATTCTGAAACAACAAAGGTTGCGTGGGACACAATGGTTAGATATTACGGTGGTGGCGCATCAGTGAAGAAGGAGAATCTTCAGTCCCTAAGAAAGCAATATGAGAATCTCAATATGAAGGACAATGAGAAAGTTTCTGAGTACATCTCTAGAGTGATTCTGATCACAAATGAGATGAAAGCTTGTGGATAAACTCTTTCTGAACAAGAAATCATAGAGAAGGTATTGAGGTCACTTACTCCTCAATTTGATTACATTGTTGTAGCAATGAACATTCTAAAGATCTGGAAACCATGAGAATAGAAGAGCTGCAAAGCAGTCTATAAGCGCAAGAGTTGCGTCTGACTGAAAGAACTTCTGAGAGAAAAGTTGAGCAGGTTCTGAAAGCTTCTTTTGTCAAGAAGGACCAGAAGCAGAGAAAACATGGTAGGTCTCAGAAGTCAAAAGTCTTCAATTCTGATGAAAAGAAACATCAGAAGGGAAAGAAGAAATATGACAAGAGAATAGTTCAGTGTTACTGTTGTAATAGGTTTGGCCACTTTGCTAAAGATTGTTGGTTAAGCAAAGAAGAAGAAAAAATAGCCATAGCAGATTCAGATGATGAACATGTGTTATTAATGGCTTATAAATCTGATGAGGAACCTATGAGATTGCCATTTTCTGATTCTGAAGGGGAAGACGATGATTCTGAATATTCTGACTCTGAAGAACTGTTGGAATATGAGTCATAATCAGAAGATGACGCTGAAGATGAGTCAGAATCTGGGGTTTCTAAAGATGAGTCAGAGTTAGAAGATGACTCTGAAACTGAAGACATGTCATAATCTGAAGGTGATTCTGAGTCTGAAGAAGAATCGGAAGATGAAGAATCTTTTGGAGACTCTAAAGATGAGTCATATGGTGAATTTGATTGTGATTAATATTTTAATGATGATCCAGAATCTGGTGGTGATCATGCTTTTAGAAGGGAAAACTATGAAGACGTAGGTTCTGGAGGACAAGCTTCTAAAGATGATCATGTTTCTGGTTGAAATCATGATTCTGAAAGTGGAACTTCTGAAGGCATGGCTTCTGAAGGTGATCCAACTTTTGAAAATGGTATTTCTGAAGGTAATGGTTCTGAACAAGGTCCAGAAGCTAAAAAAGGTGGAGCTTATGGTGGTAGTCAAACTTATGGAGAAATTCCAATTTCTTAAGCAAGAGCTTCTGAAGAGGAAAGTTTTGGTGTTCGGGGTTCTGAAGTTCAAGTTCAGAGGCAACAAAGAGTCAGAAGCATCTGAAGAAGATTTAGAGTTTGACATGCTGCAAGACACTGAAGTAGAATCCGAAGGAGAAGTTATTTAGTGTGCAATGTTAGTAGACTTTGAATCCGTAAGTACGGAAGAGGCTCTTAAGAAGCAAGTCTGATTGCAGACCATGAAAGAAGAACTTGATGCTATAGAGAAAAACAATATTTGGAAGCTGATAGAACTTCCAAAAGGCAAGAAAGCCATCAGTATCATATGAGTTTTCAAGCACAAGCTAAATCCAGATGGATCAATTGTAAAACACAAAGAAATGTTCTGGGAAGCCCCATGGTCATTAAAGTTTTGATCAGGGATTGGAGTGTTAAGCGGGTGCTAGTCGACCCCGGAAGCTCAACCAACGTGATGTACTGGGAAGCCTTCAAAGGAATGTACTTTGACTCAAAAGAGTTGCTACCATTCAATGGGACCTTAGTCGGGTTTTCTGGAGAGCATGTGCAGGTACTCGGGCACCTTCCAGTTCTAACTGTATTCAGAACGAAGGAGAACACCAAAGTAGTTAGAGTACGACACTTGATTGTCAATGCAGCATCTCCCTACAACATTATAATCGAGAGACCATCATTCAATACACTTAAGGCAGAGTTATTAACCTTGTACCTCACTATGAAGTACC